CCCCCCCCCAAAAAAAACCCCACAATATCAGACTCTAGCCAATATGGCTGGATCTGAATCTGCTTTTTAGCAAGACCTACAGACATGTGGAAGTGCACAGACTGTGCTGCTGCTGTGAGCATGGTTGTTTCCTTGAAGCTGTAGAAAAGGAACGGACTTCTACAGCTGTGCTTCCTGCCCAGCCCCATCCAAAGTTTACTGAGCCATCATTCCCAGGGTAGACATGGGGACCACACTGCCCCTGGTGGAGCCCATAAAGGTTCATCTTGTACTTGAACCAGGCTCCAGGTTGCTTATGATGGCCTCCCTCTCCTCACTCCTGACATGTACCACTTGGGTTACCCACTGCTGTCCTCATACTAAACAGTGAATGAATCAAAATAGACTTAAAGCTAGTTGCTGGTGGTTCACTCCTAGAGTCCTAGCTATTCAGAGACTGAGATCTGAGGATTGTGGTTCAAAGCCAGCCCCGGGCAGGAAAGACCATTAGAGACTTATCTCTAATTAACCACCAGAAAACCGGAAGTGGCACTGTGGCTCAAAGTGGTAGAACACCAGCTTTCAATGCAAAAGCTCAGGGATAGCACCCAGTCCCTGAGTTCAAGCCCCACAACTGAATAAAAAAACAAATAAACAAAAAAAAACAGCCTTGAGAGAAGTTCAGGAGAGGGTCTGGGGAGTCTGCCACTGTTAGTTCCTCAAGGAGCAGTTGCTCAAGGGAATTTGGGACCCATATGTGGGTTCTGTGGAGCCTTCCACCGCTGTGGAAGGACTAAGATCAGAATTCAGGGCATATGGGCCTTAAGGGTAACTTGCTTTCCTGGCGTTGTCAATGGCTCGTAATACATACTCTGCATATGTACTCCTGAGGCAGAAGATGTAGGGGCCCGCGTGACCTGTGGTGTTGGCCATGCCATCACTTGTAGATCAAGAGGACTGAGCCTGCCCTCCTCCTTCTGCCAGGAATGCATCATTACACACCTTCAGAAGGCAACTGAGCCATGTGAGTCAGAAGCCAAAATGGTGCTCATTTCCTTTGACCCAATAATCCCATTTCTGGGCATCTATCCTAAGAAAATTATTAAAAGCAGGAAAAAGTTATGGCATGGAAGATGTTCATAATGAGCTTATTCATGACAGCAAAATGCGTTAAAAACTCAAATGACCTGTAAAAGATGATGAATGCTCTTCCAATGCTTTCACGAAAAAGCATCAAATAACCATTAAAATGATGATTAATGCAGGGTGAATGACTTCCATGTAACTTGCACATGAAAAAATAAGAGCCAAGAGTTACATAAACATTCTAACTATAACTTTAAAATATATTGCAAGATGCAGGAATGGAATATGTGTTATGCACATTAGGGTGTGTGTGTGTGTGTGTGTAGTCCTGAAGGTTAAACCCAGGGCCTCCTGCTTGCTATTCAAGTGTTCTACCACGCTGACCTCAGTCCATCCCTCCTCTTTTTGAGACAGAATCTCACCGCCTTTGCCTGGGCTGACCTCAAACTTGAGGCACCCTGCTTACACCTCCCACATAGTTGGAATTACAGACTTGGTGCTTAGGATTGAACTCAGGGTCTCATACAGGCTGAGCAAGAACTCATGCTGTTACAAATGGTGGTTATTGTGTCAAAAGGTTGATTACAATCCTACTTTTTAAGCTTTAGCTAATGCTGCTATGATTCTTTTTTTTGGGGGGGGGGATGGAGGGGAGGTCATGGGGCTTGAACTCTGGGCTTGGGCGCCGTTCCTCAGCTCTTCAGCTCAAGGTGAGCCCTCTACCACTTGAGCTACAACACCATTTCTGGTTTTCTGGTGTTTTATTGGAGATAAGAGTCTTATGGACTTACCCACCCAGGCTGGCTTTCAACAGCGATCTCAAATTCCTGAGTAGCTAGGACTAAAGGCATGAGCCACAAGCGCCCGGTTACTATGATTCTTTTCATTATAAAAGTGTGGGCTTAAAAATAAAGTTTGGGGGCTGGGAAGGTGGCTCAGTGGTAGAGCGCTTGCCTTACATGCATGAGGTCCTGGGTTCAATTCCTCAGCACCACATAAGCAAAAAGAAAAATGCCAGAAGTGGGCACTGTGGCTCAAGTGGTAGAGCGCTAGCCTTGAGCTGAAGAGCTGAGGGACAGCGCCCAGGCCCAGAGTTCAGGCCCCACGACTGGACCAAAAAAATAAAATAAACTACATTTTGGACTACCAACATTAATAATGGAATGAAGGGAGGAGAGTAGAAATGTGCAGCTGGAACAGGAAGGCAAAAGCCTTGGGTCCTCTAGTGTAATTCACCATGCTAGAAGGTTTAAAAAAAACCAACAATTTTCCAGTGGCTCCCTGTTCTCTACCACACAGATGGTCCACTAAACACACTATGGCCACAAGGCCTGTGCTCAGGAGTCAGAAGCCTGAGTGAGAATGGTTCCTCTAAACTGGGTGCCTATGGCTCATGCCTACAAATCTAGCTAAGAGACACAGATCTGGAGAACCCCAGTTCAGTCAGCACAGGCAGAAAAACCTGAGACTTCGTCTCAAAAAGCTGGGGTGGAGGCTTGGCTCAAATGGTAGAATTCCAGTCATGAGCAAGCAAAACAAGCGAGTACAAGACCCTGAGATCAAAAGAAACAAAGTTTCTTCTACCTGGGTACCGTTTCCTCTACCAGGATATGGGAGATACCTCATAAACCATTCATTTCATGACATAGAGAGGGTATCCTGCTTCATTTTTTTTTAACTGTATTTTTTTTGTCTTTTTCTTTTTTGGTACTGGGGATCGAACCCAGGACGTTGCGCTTGCTAGGCAAGCGCTTTGCCACTGAGCTACATCCCAGCCCCTCCTGCTTCATTTTTAATAGGTCATTTGGTTTGTAACACATTTTGCTGTTAGAGAGAGTGTCCTGCCTCCTCTGTGGAGCTCTTGAGAACTACTCAGAAACAGGCATAAGACGGGTTGAGAATGACTCAGAAATGGCAGCCTGACTACATTTGGGGGAATTCCATGAATTCAACGAACCTTGTGATGTGTTCCCTACTTAACTTAGGGACTGGAAAATTTAACGCTCTCATAATTAGAAATGAAATGTGTTGCATGAGTGAACGGGAAGCGCATGGGGATGCAAACCTGTAATCCCATCTATGCTGGAGGATGTCGGCAGGATATTTACAGTTTGAGGCTAGCCCCAGACAAAAACAGAAAACCTCCTCTGAGAAACAACTCAAGCAAAACTTGTTGGAGCTATAGGTCAAGTGGTAGAGCACCAGCCTAAGAAGTTTGGGGCCCTAAATTCAATCCCCAGTACTACCAAAAAGAAAAAGAGTAGTAAAGAAGACAAATAAGGGGGCTGGGAAGGTGGCTCAATGGTAGAGCGCTTGCCTTGCATGCATGAGGCCCTGGGTTTGATTCCTCAGCACCACATAAGCAGAAAAAGCTGGAAGTGATGCTGTGGCCCAAGTGGTAGAGTGCTAGCCTTGAGCTGAAGAGCTGAGAGACAGTGTCCAGGCCCAGAATTCAAGCCTTATGACCCAGCAAAAAAAAAAAAAAAGACAAATAAGGTATAAGATGGAAACTATGTATTTTTCTTTTTCTTTTTTAGTGATTATGAAAGAAATGCTTAGAGGAAAAAATGCTTGCCATTTAGAAGGATTCGGACAATGCAGAATGGAACAAGACAGAAAGAACAATGGGCTAGAACTGTCCATTCTGTTTTGCACACCATGTCCTTGTGGGATGGGCTTTTTCCTGCTCTTCTCACCAGGCCAGCTATTTTCAAATGGTTGTGATTAGGGTACTTGCAAAAATATCTGAGCTCTGCTTTTTTTCAATGGAATATTATAAACATGGTTTGATGCGAAAAGATTTTCAGTGGCAGCATAATAGCTCATTTTAGATTTTCAGTGGCAGCACAATAGCTCATTTTAGATTTTGCCTAAACTACTCAGCTATCACAATCTAGTTGGAGGTTTGGGTGTTCCTATGTGTGGGAGTGCATATATGGCTATCATAAAGAACCTTGTGATGAAGGTGTAAGGAAAGGAACTGGTAAGTCAGCTTAGCCTTTGTCTGACATATGTCACCCTTGGAGGAGGCCAGGCTGACCACCAGAAAAGCCACACAGAATTAAAGAAGAAGCTACAGGTGGGCAAAAGTGAAATCAACAGGAGTGGACTATAGCTAGGGGCCACAGAGGAAGGACACAGAAGGGGAGCTGCGGCTAAGACCCATGAAGCCGGAGGAAGGAAAAAAAGAGCCAATCAGGTACCAGTGAGGGAAAGAAAGAACACTTAAGGCCCTAGACCACACTTACCAGTTGTTGCCACGGTGGACACAGGGCCCATGCGCTGCCCCTGGTAGATTCCGTACAGGTGCATCTTGTACTTGCGCCCAGGCTCCAGGTTCTCCACAGTGGCCTCCCTCTCCTGGCCTCCAACACGCACCACCTGGGGCCGCCCATCACTGTCCTTGTACTGGACAGTGAAGGAGTCAAAGTGGCCCTGGGGGATGGTCCAGGAGAGGCTCAGGGAGTCTGGAGAGGATCCTGTCACGGTCAGCTCTCCCAGGAGCGGCTCCTCGGGGGGCTCTGGTGCCTCTGTGCTGGGCTCTGTGGGGCTGGGGGTCTCTTCCTCTGTCACTGAGAGAGGGAGAGATGCAGAGAAGGTGAGGCAGAGACCTCGAGTCTTAGGGTGGAGAAGCCATGGCTAGTGGAACCCACAGGTCAGCTCAGAGAAGTCTGCCCTTGGGACCTGATGGTCCTGATCAGCTGATCTCTGATAAACATGTCCAAGCTCCTAAGTGAACTTGGAGGAACTATTATGGTCACTAGCACAGCACAGATACTAATGGTCCTTCCCGGCCCAGGAGGACAGAAGTCAACCCAAGGGGAAGCATAGGGGCCAGAGCCCCCCCCCCCACACACAGCAGGTCTGTGGGTGCAAACCAATGCCCAGACACATTGCCTGCTTAGTGACCAACCAAAGAGTAAAAGGATCCTACCTCCTGGTTGACCCCACCCTGGAGTTTCCAACACCCACTTACCCGTCACCCCAATGGCAGACACGGGGCCCACGCGCTGGCCGCTGTGGAAGCCATACAGGTTCATCTTGTACTTGTGGTCTGGCTCCAGGCCTGAGATGGTGACCTGGTCCTCATGGCCTGGCACCCTCACCACCTTGGGCTGCCCGTCCCCGTTCCTGTACTGCAGCAGGAAGTGGTCAAACTGTCCCTCGGGGACCGTCCAGGAGAGGCCCAGGGAGTCGGGGGTGGCATCTGTCACGGTCAGCTCCCCCAGGCGTGGCTTGGGGGGAGGCTGCACAGTTGTGGTAGGTGCTTCTGAGGGCTCTTCCTCTTCCTCACTTTGTGACACTGAACATGGAGAGGGGAAGAGTTTCAGAAAGGGCTATGACCCCAGGCACTTTACTCTCCTTAGGACTCTTCCAACTCTCTGGAAAGATGCAAGCTCAGAATCTCCCTTACTCACCTGTAACAGCCTCAATCTGGACAGGACCTACGCGCTTTCCATCATGGAAACCATATAAGGTCACCAGGTATCTGTGTTCGGATTCCAGGTCAGTGAGGGTGATGTCAGTCTGGTCGCCCTCTATACTGACCACTTGGAGTTGCCCATCTCTGTCTGTGTACTGGACCTCAAAGGAGTCAAATTGTCCCTCAGGTACCATCCAGGAGAGATGCAGGCTGTCGGGCATGGCCTCCTCCACTGTCAGCTGGCCCAGGCGGGGCACAGCCACGGGAGGGCTTGGAACCTTAGTCTCAGCTTCATATTTTTCCCTGGAGTCTATTCAGAGAGACAGGTAGAGATGATTACTGATTGATTCCTGCTCAATGGATACTTTGGAGAGGAGGGCGAAGGGGAAGGAAGAGATCAGCAATAAGAGGGTCTGCTTCTGTTATATTTGAATAAATTTCCAAAGAATTATATGAAGTGTTAAGAATACAAACAGAAGGTACCACGTATTAATGACTAGTTAAATAAAATTGAAAAAAAAAGCAAAACTATATTGAAAGAAAGCAGATCAGAGGGTGCAGGGGCTGGTTGTAGGGAACAGATTGCAAGGTTTACAAGGAAACTTTTTTTTTCCTTTGTGCTTCCACTGAAGCTTGAACTCAGGACCTGCAGTTCTTATTTGGATTTTTTTCATTCAAAGCTGGTATTCTACCCTTTGAGCCACACCTGAACTTCCAGCTTTTTGCTGATAAATTGGAGCTATAACTCTCACAGACTTTCTGTCTGTCTGGCTTCAAACCTGGTTCCTCAGATCCCTGCCTCCTAAGTAGCTAGGAATATAAGCATGAGTCACAAGTACCCAGCAAAGGAAACTTGTCAAGTGGTTATAAAGGCTTTAAATCTCTCTTGTGGCATGGTTTGTGACTTACAGATTTGCCAACTCATTGATACTCTATGTAAATGGTGCTCCAGGAAACTGACCCCACCCCCAAAAGAAGGGAAATGGGAAGTTGAGAGAGACCTTTGTTCCCTCAGGCAGACAGGGAGAGCTAGGTGGAAAAGAGTCACAAAGCATTCCAGCAGTCTCCACACTCACCAGTTGTGGCAATGGCAGAGAGAGGACCCACACGCTTGTTGTTGTATAACCCATAGAGCAGCAGCTTGTACCTACGAGCAGGGTCCAGGCCCGAGACGCTGACCTCCCTGAGGCTGCCCTCCACCGGCACCACCTGGGGCTGCCCGTCACTGTCCTTGTACTGGACCACGAAGGAGTCAAATTGACCCTCTGGAACTGTCCATGAGAGGCTCACAGAGTCTTGGGTCACACTGGTCACCTGAAGCTCTTCCCCCAGTTGAGGTTTGGGGGGCTGCTTTGTTCTGGTATGGTCATAAGCGTCTGGGGTCTCTGAGATGGAGACAAGGACAAGAAAGAGCTGAGCTCTGTCTACAGGCTGTGTTTGGTCAAAACAGAATCCAACAAGGACGCAGGGTGGGTGAAGGGAAGCCACCACAAGTGATCACCCGTTTCCCTGGGCCTCGGAGGAGCAGAGCAGGGCCCTGCAGGGGACACTCCTCACCTGTGGTGCCGTCTGCAGTGAGGGGTCCAAAGCGCTTCTTGCCCAGGAGGCCGTAGAGGAGAAATTTGTACTTGCGGCCAGAGTCCAGGGGGGCCATGGTGGCCGAGCGCTCGTGGCCCTCCACAGGCACCACCTGGGGCCCATCCTTGCCCTTGAACTGCACCACAAAAGAGTCGAACTGCCCTTCCGGGACTGTCCAGGAAAGGCGCAGGGAATCTGTAGTAGTGTCTGTCACCCATAACTCCCCAAGGCGGGGTGGGCTGGCGTCATCTTGGGCAGCTGACAGAAAGGAAAGATTCTTATGTTTATTTTTTTCCGAAATGACTTTTCAACTGCCTTCTGTTAGTGTTGGAAAAACCCAGAACTGCCCAAATGGTCAGTGCTTCCCCACATATTTTTTATTACCCTTCGTCTTTGCTACCATCTCCAGCTGGCGTCTGCCACTCTCCAGTAGATCAACATGGGGAAGGGGGTCTCTGGCATGACTTATCCTGGGAAGAGATCCCTTAATTTCCCTCCTCATTGCATCCCTCTTACTTCCTGGCCAGGTTCTTCCCATCTCTTAGAGAATGTTTCCCCAGCAGGATGTGTATCTTAGACTTGGTGTCCATCTAGTTCCTCTTACTCAGAAATCCCTGATTTGTGATCTGATCAGTCTGGGGAAATCAGAGGGGCCAGGGTTCCCTGCTGGGGGCAGACAGTAGGTGGGGCAGGCATGATACTCTGACAGAGTGCTTCCCACTCTGCCCCCATCCCCTTTCTCATTCTCCTTCTGTACCGACTGGATTCAGAAGCAATGACTCCCACAGAGCCTAGTAGAGGAGTGAGACTACCCCATGGTATGGTGTGTGTGTGTTGTGTGTGTGTGTGTGTGTGTGCGCGTTGCAGAAACTGGGGCTAAAGTGGGGAGGAAGGCTGAGACGGAGAAGGGATCTGATGTTGGCCAAAGGAGCCATCCCAGGCCTGGGAAGGAGCTGGCCTGTTGCCTTCCTGGACAGCAAAGCCTCTGACAACATTGTTATTGTGAGAGGTTTTCTGGCAACAGGGAGCCCCCAGGGACAGGGGAGGGCCTGGACTGAACCCCAGAAAGGGCACAGCTGGGTTGGGTTCTTTATCTTTCTCTTCGTAAGGCTCTAGAAGGACAGAAGACAGGAACCTCAACCAGAGGCAGCTGTAGGTAGGACCAGATGGATAAGAGCTGACATGAAGGACAGAGACAAAATCTGAGGCAGGGATGGGGCCACAGGCCAGAGGAAAAGGTGCCCCTGGCCACCTCCCTCCCTTTCCCAGAAGCCCACCATTCATCTTCCAGGAAAGAGCTCCCCAATTCAAGAGAAGTACACACAATAAGAAATACTAGCAGGGGAGAGTAGTCCAAGATCTGGCCCCATTTGTTCTGGTTCTTGTCTGCTTTGGACTGAGGTAAGCAGATGGCTTTTCAAACCAAATAGAAAAGCTAGGGTGTTAGAGGCTTAGCTCAGTTGGTAGAGTGCCAGCCATTGAGTGAAAGCACCAGGTACCCAGTTCAAGTCCCAGGCTCAGACTAAAAAAAAAAAAAAGTAGCTAGCATTCCACCTTCGGAGGGAAGGCTGGGCCTCAAGGCTCAAGCATGTTGAGCCCCTCTCACCTGTTTTTGTCTCCACAGAGACTGGGCTGCGTCGTCTCCCATCCCACATTCCAAAGAGCAGGAACTTGTACTTGCGGGATGGCTCTAGGTTGGAGACAGTGACCTCTCGCTGGTCTGCTGCCACCGGCACCACCTGGGGCTGCCCATCCCTGTCCTTGTACTGGACGAGGAAGGAGTCAAATTCCCCCTCAGGGACTGTCCAGGAGAGGCCCACGGAGTCTGTGGTCACGTCTGTCACTGTCAGCTCCCCCAAGCGTGGTTCCACGAGGGCCTTGGAGATGGGTGCTGGTGGGAGGGGATCTGGGATCCAGAAGACAAAGAGCAGGGCTGAGATCTGTGAGGAGAGAACTCCTGGGCTCTGCTGACCTCAAAGGGACTGGGAGCTGAAATGTAGGGTGTGCTACGGCGAGCCATACAGAAAGCCAACCGCGACATCTTAGAAGCGCTTGTGACTTTCTCACCAGTAGAAAGCAGATATCTTTTCATATCACCTTAGAGTTATTTCAGAAGCTTCAAAATGTTGTTTACATGAGCTAATACAGAAGTCCAGAGCTGGAAGCCAGTGCCTCATGGCTATAACCTTAGCTACTCAGGAACTGAGACCTGAGGATCTTGGTTCAAAGCCAGCCTGGGAAGACAAATTGGGGAGACTCTTATCTCACATTAGCTAACAAAAAACCAGAAAGGTAGCTTTGGCTTAAGTGGTAGAGAGAATCATCCTTGAGAAGAGAAGCTAAGGGGTAGAGCTGGGTGCTGATAGCTCATGCCTGTAATCCTAGCTACTCAGGAGACTGAGATCTGAGGATCACAGTTCAAACTCAGCCCAGGCAGGAAAGTCATGAGATTCTTATCTCCAATTAAGCATTAGAAAACCAGAAGTGGTGCTGTGGCTCAAAGTGGTAAAGTGATAGCCTTGAAGGAAAAAGCTCAGAGACGGTGCCCAGGCCCTGAGTTCAAGCCCCCTGATCAACAACAACAACAAAAAAAGGTAAGGGATAGTGTAAGACCCTGAGTTACAGCCCTACTACTGATACAAAGAAGGAAGGAGGGAAGGAAGGAAGGAAGCAAGCAAGCAAGCAAGGAAGAGAGGGAGGGAGGGAGGGAGGGAAGGATGACAGAGGGAAAAAATGTAAGTCCAGGTATTACCAAATTATAAATTCAAATATTTAAGAAATGTTTTTAGCCGGGTGCTGGTGTCTCACACCTGTAACCCTAGCTACTCAGGAGGCTAAGATCTGAGGATCATGGTTCAAAGCCAGCCTGGGCAGGAAAAGTCTATGAGACCATTATCTCCAATAAACCACTAAGAAAACCGGAAGTGGTGCTGTGGCTAGCCTTGAGCTGGAGAGCTGAGGAACAGTGCCCAGGCCCAGAGTTCAAGTCCCATGACTGAAAAAAAAAAATTGGTGACCATATTGTTTGTGATGATGTAAAATGTCTGTACATATTTGAAATAGATGCAAGTTTTAAAAAATATTTTCTATCTACAGTTGGCTGTGGAATTTGAAGATATGGAGGACTGAGTGTAGAGCCACATAATTTGTATCTCTGGCAATCTTACACATTTCATTTTCTACATTTTAAGATGTTGCTCTGAGATGGAATAGGGATTTCACCAGATGCTTTGGCACAGAAAAATCATGATGAACCTATGCCCAGGAAACCATGAGGGCTTAGAGGAAGCCAAGGCCCGAAGGAGAGGGCGGCCTTCTGGAGGGATGCAAGTGGAGTCAGCCAGAAGGGAGTGAGACACAGGCCAGGCAGTGAGGACCACTGAGAAAAGATTCCGGGATGTGTGCTGACAGAAGGGGGAGATGGCAGCTGTGTTAAGTCACAGCAGGACTGTAAAGAGAGGGGAAGGAAATAGCTGTGTAGTCAGAGTGTTGAAGAAGAAAGAATGAATTTAGGCCAAATGGAAAGATGACTTTCCAGCTGGGTGAACCGTGGAGATGGGAAAATCACCGGAAGGTGACAAGGTTCCAACCCCAGAGCTTAGCAAATGGACTAGAGTAACTGTAAGCCTGGGAAAGGACGTGCAAGGTCACTGACGGGACCTTCTCAGGGAGGGATGGAAGCACCCAGACAGAGCTAGGAGTACAGTCCTGGGGAGAAGATTTGGGTAAACACGGGTGGGAAGTCCCTTGCCCCCTCTTACCCGTCACAGCTACCACAGAGAGGGGGCCCGCACGCTGCCTGCCATGGAGTCCATAGACATTCATCTTGTATTTTCTTGCAGGCTCCAGATTGGGGACAGTGACTTCAAGCTCGTCTCCAGCCACAGGTACCTCCTGGAGCTGTCCATCTCTATCCTTGTACTGGACCATAAAGGAGTCAAACTGGCCCTCAGGGACTGTCCATGAGAGGCTTACGGAGCTAGGGGTCACATCTGTCACTGTCAGGTCTCCCAGGCGTGGCTCAAGTGGGGGCTCAGTGGCTGGAGGGATCACTTCTGCTTGCTGGTCTGGTACAGAGATAGTAGAGGACTATTAGAAAAGGAATCCGCTTTTATCTTGGTAGTAATTATGTCTGCTAACTTGTGTACCCACAGGTGTTTTGATGGGATTTTTAAAATATAATTTTACTGTTATTGGTAAAGTGTTGTACAGAAGGGTTACCATTTCATAAGTCAAGTTATGAGTACACTTCTTCTTGGACAATGTCACCCTTCCTTCGCTTCCCCCCAGTTACCCACTCCTATCCTTGTACAAAAGTTGCATAGCTCTTTTTATTTGATAAGGAATATTCCATTGTATGGCTAAAAATAATTTATTTAGCCATTAGTATACAGATGGACAGTTGAGTTATTTCCAGTGTTTAATGCAAAAAAATTCATATGCAATTGTTTGTAAGAGCATATGATCTCATTTCTCTTGGATAAATACCTAAAAGTAGACTAACTGAATCATGGCATATTTTTATGTTGAACGTTTACCCATGGGATGGTTTTCATGTGAAACTTCATTAATCAACATCTATCTGGCCAATAATCTTTCACCAACTGTCTACCAGGTGTTAGGCTGTGCTTGTGGGAGAGGAGTAGTCAGTTGTCACAGGACGCTAGAAAAGTGGCTGGAATCCCACCTGCATGTCAGCGACTAGATTTATACCACATCAGACCTCTCTGAGACCCTCGGAACTCAGGTTTGCTCAACATCCGAATTTATTTTTTTAATAGAAATGCTATTTTATTATTTTATTTTATTTTATTTTCCAAATTTATATCTTAAGTCCAAAACTGAGCTTCTGAGCTTCCCCTGTGCTCTATAGTGTCTTCACCTGGTAAAGTAAGAACCCCATCCATCCAGTTATTCAAATAAAAATCCTTGAACACAGCCATGTGGCTGTGAGCCAGGGTGGTTCACACCTGTAATCCTAGCTACTCAGGAAGCTGAGATCTAAAGATTGCAGTTCACACCAGCCCAGGCTAGAAAGTCCCTGAGATGGGGCTGGGAAGGTGGCTCAGTGGTAGAGTACTTGCCTTGCATGCCTGAGGCCCTGGGTTCGATTCCTCAGCACCACATAAGCAAAAAGAAAAAA